CGGACAAGCTTGCGGACAAGCTTGCGGACAAGCTTGCGGACAAGCTTGCGGACAAGCTTGCGGACAAGCTTGCGGACAAGCTTGCGGACAAGCTTGCGGACAAGCTTGCCGACAAGCTTGCGGACAAGCTTGCGGACAAGCTTGCGGACAAGCTTGCGGACAAGCTTGCGGACAAGCTTGCGGACAAGCTTGCGGACAAGCTTGCGGACAAGCCTGCGGACAAGCCTGCGGACAAGCCTGCGGACAAGCTTGCGGACAAGTTTGCAACAAGCTTATTGCAAGCTTGTCTGCAAGCTTGGGGCAAGCTTGCCTGCTAGCTCACACAGGTTTTTAGCTTGCAGGCAAGCGTTCAGGCAAAGCTTGCAGGTAATCTGGCAGGCTACAAAATTCTGAACTGACATTTACTGTTCCTTTTTTACCATGTACATGCATGAAATGTCAGGGCATTAAGTCATTTCCACATAAGTTAAAACTCAAATTTATTAGATTAAACAAAAATAAATTCCAGTCGGAATCAATAAGGTATATGTACCTTGCAGCAACTTGATGTATTTAAAACTATTTTTGAACTGCAAAATATCAAAATGGTTTATACTGTTCAAGACAATTTTGAGGTTAATCTTTTTTAACATATTTTTTTCTAGAAGATGTCTTGTTAGAAGATTCCAGGCAACTTGTGGTTGACTTTCTATTGATGATGAAGCACGCCATTAATTGATACTATTTTTCAGAGCTTAATTGGGCAGGAATCTTGTTTGCACTGTTGACTTTGTATCAATTGATTATGAAGTCTTGGGACAAATTGTAAATTAATCATTTTGTAAACAACAAATTTCTACGAACAAAAATTGAAGTCAAAGAATGTTGAATCAGCCAGTGATCCTTAATTGGGAAACAAATTGTCCATAAACAGTTGTCCATAAACAAAAAGTGACTCTATGATTGCTGTTTGTTTTTGGTAATATCACAACAGGCATCAACATCTTTCCATTGTCACTATGCATCCAAAAATTATGAAATCCAAACCCATCCTAAAGTAAACTAAGGCTATAACCATTTGTTTTCACCACTCGAAGCATTCAATATTTGTATAATGCCAAAGTGCTGGGAACATATAAATGTGTACAAATGCCGTGGGCAAAATGGAAAAAAATCTTAATGAAAACAAAGGCTGTTTTGGCAAATGTGCTGAAACAGCCAAATATGAAGAGAAAAAAACGAAGAAATAACATGAGACATGTAAATAAAGTACTTTGAAAAGTACATCCAAGTTTTGTTGTTGCCTTATTAGTGTTAAGGGAGAAGAAAGTCTCATTGTATTGGGGTACATAGTAATGGGTTCAAATACATGGTCTTCAAAAGTGGAAATGGTATGAGAACAACTATTTACAGAAGAAATGTATTTTATGGAATTGATAAAAAAAGGTCCAATAGTACGGGGTAAATACTAGCTGGTCCAAATATTCTTTTTAAAAAGTAGGGCATAAAATATTCTATTAAAACGACTAGATGTAATACTAAAAGATCAGAAGTTCAATCATACCAAGTCACACCAAGAGAAGAAATAATTCAATATTACTAAACATTGGCAGATTTTTTTTGTTTTTGGTAGGAAAAGAACAATTGAAATACAAACTATATATTTTGTTTGAGGTGAAACTGAAAAGTAGCACGGGGAATGAAGCTTTAAAAGTTGTGTATTCTAACATTAGAGCGTGTTTGTTTTTATGCTTGTTAACAATATATCTTTAACATTTTCCACCTGTTAGGCCACTGTTGTGAAGAAGAAGATGTACTACAACATGCGTGTCAAAACATTTCAGCGTGTATTAGCAGACATGACTGATTGCATCACTCGAAAGAAGCGGCTGCTTACACATGATACCAGAGACAGACTGAGAACTTTAAGCTTCAACATTAAAGAGGTACGTGTACTTTCCTTAAAATGAACAATTCCAAACAAACAATAATACCAAACAAGTCACAAAATGCTGGTTTGGAGCTGGTGCTGAGACTGCAATAGTTGCATTGTTATGATAAGAGACTTTTTAGCCTTAAAGCTTTTGTGATCAGAAGGGATTTTTTTACACAAAAGTGTCCATATACGTGTACATGTGCATTTTTTTCCTGCTTGTTCATCAGGCTGTTCGGGCATCCATTTGTTTTACAGGTAATGCCTTTGTTGTTTAATATTTTAGTACAGTTTCTTTAAGGCTGAAGGGTTATCCAAGAAAAGGGTTATCCAAAAGTAAACTTGAATATTTTGATGGCCAAAAGGTCACAATTGAAAGTGATTACCATGAGAAATACAAAGTAACTTGGTCTCTCATGATGGTGACCTAGACTGCTTCTCAAACCCAGGCTTTGTCTACTAAACTGCATGCCAGATGCTGGACACAGAGACAGAATCAGGGATTTGAGAAATGGCTTGAAATGTTTGATTGGTGAACGGATTGAATTTTGTATTTACCACTGATGCCTAAAATTGTTTGACATTTAGACATGTCATGTCAAAAGCTGTTATATAATCAGCATCACCCGGGGGTAGGAGTTCTTTGGGTGTAAATTTATAACAAGTTGGTGAAAGATAAGAACGATTAAAGTTAATTAATTTGCAATGAGTATGCGATGAAAAGAAGATAAGTGAATGACGGATAAAGGTTAACTAAAATATTATGAATAAAGCTCACAACAATAATTAAACCGTTTTGGTAGTTGTTTGGATAGTTGTACTTAAGATGGCGGCTGGTCAGCAGACCCCATACTGGGCTCTGACATTTTTCTCAGTTTGTGCTGCTTCTAGCCTGCTTTGCAGTGTACATCGCACACCATATGAAGGAGTTTGTCCTGCTGATTTCACTGGTCTGTCTACTCATGTGATTGAGGGCACTGCAAGGGAGTTCTTGACAGATCATGCGTTGGACTTATACAGTCTTCAGTCAGTGTTTCAGCATAAGAGTGTAAGCAACTACAGCTCACACGACACACTCGACCGACTCTATTATGACCTGCATGACAGCTTTTGTGTGGTGCCCACCAGCTATTGTTCCCTCATGTGCATCTTTACCAAGCATCCTGTTCCATGTGCATGCACAATATGGCTGAACTATGAACAACACGAACAACTTATCAGGACTGATAGGAAAACTAAGTTTGGAAATGCCCCAGTGTCTTACTACCACAACTCAACAGCATCATTTAATATCTTATTAACTGTGTGTGGAGAAATAGAAGATAACCCTTGGCCTGTGAAGGATCCCTGTGGTAGCTGCAGTCGTCCAGTGAAAAGTAATCAGAGATCTCTTCTCTGTGAAGACTGCAACAAATTTTGGCATCAGAAATGCATCCCTGAAATGTCAATCACCCAGTGCAATGAGTTAATATCTTGCACTGTGGACTGGTTCTGCCCATGCTGTGTGTCATCATCATCCTTCATCATCCTTCGGCTGCGGAGCAGTCGAGTACAAGCTTCTTCCATTTACCGCGATCATGGGCAAGTGTTGCGATTTGGTCTGGTCGCAGCATGCCATCACTATCTCCAAGCAAGCGTTGAATATAAGTTAGGTATGATGTGCGTTGTCTTCCTGGTTTCCGTCTCCCCTGGGGTGGTGTATAAAGGGCATACACTTTTGCAGGCTCATCGTCTGGCATGCGGAGTATGTGCCCAAGGAACTTGAGCTGCCGAGTTCTTACACGCTCCACAAGAGGGTTTGAGTTGGTCATAGTATAGATGGTGGCATTGGGGACATGGTCGGTGCGCTTGATGCTCAGCATAATGCGGTAGCAAAAGCGTTTATTTTACTTTCCATGTCTTTGGAGATTACCCAATACATAGAGGAGAACTGTGATGCATGTTGTGTTGAACAACTTCATTTTGGTGATAATTGGTAAGGAGGGGCTTCTCCACAGCTGTTCCAACTTCCAAAAAGTCGTCCAGGCCAGTGCCTTGCGTCTTTTGAGGTCAGTTGCGCTGGATGCTACCATGGATCCCAGATATTTAAAATCAGTCACATGTTTTATTGGACTGCCGTAGACATGAAGTGAGGGGGAAGGCTCACGATATGACATAATGTACTCTGTCTTGGGTACATTAATTATGAGGCCAACGCCTTCTGCAACTGAAGCTGTCATGGATAACTGTGCCTGGGCCCGTGGTAACGTAGACTAAAAAAGGGCGATGTCGTCAGCAAAGTCAAGATCATTAAACTGTTTTGCCGGATATCTCCTAGATAGACGTGGATGAGTTACGACTCCAGAATCCAAACCAGCGGTGGCTTTGTTTAGAAGGTAGTCAACAACTATGATGAACACAAAAGGAGCAAGCACATCCCCTTGCAGAACTCCAGTGGATACATCAAAAGGCTCTGAGATTCTTCCACCCACCATAACAGCACTTCGAGAGTTAACATACATGGCTTGTATGGCGCTAACCACTGCTTCGGGTATGCCATAGTGGCGTAATATGGAAAACATTACAGCTCTGTTGATGGAGTCAAAGGCTTTCCTGAAGTCAATAAAGGTGACAGCAAGAGGAAGTTGGTGGTCTTTGAAGCCTTCCATTACCCTTCGAAGGACGTGAATCTGCTGAGCACAACTGCGTCCCGGACGGAAGCCAGCTTGGTTGCTCCTCAGTATTGGATCAACGACGGGGCGAATCCTGTTGAGCAGAATTTTGTTGAAAACTTTTGCAGCTATTGATGTGATACTGATCCCGCGGTAGTTAGTCATGAGAGAGAGATCCCCTTTCTTGGGCACTGGTACAATGACATTTATGGTCCACTGATGCGGTGGTGATAATGTTGTAAACGCCTCAACACAGAAACTATGGATGGCGTCTATCATCTGATCACCTCCACTCTGTAGAGCTTCAGCAGTTATTGCACAATCAAGACCGCTGCCTTGTTGGTTCTCAAAGATTTGATGGCTTTGGCTGTCTCATACTGTGAAGGAGAGTCGGTGATGGTGGGCAAGTCCTTCACAGCAGGTGGGGGTAGCTCTGATTAAGGGCCATTTTCATTATTGAGTAAGGAGCTGAAATATTTACTCCACTCTGAAAGCAGTTCTGAATCACTAGCAGGGACTGTTCCATCTCTCTTTCTGACTTTGACACTTGTTCTTTTGTCATTCCCCGAGAGGTCATGGATAATTTTCCATGTAGTGGTGTAGTCTCCCATTTCATCTGCTAGCTTGAGATCATCAATCTGTTTGTTGAGTGCGGCATTTTCATCCCTCTTGTATGATTCGTTCAGAGAGGTGTTAAGTTTCCTCCACTTCTCCCTTGATTGTTGTGATTTTGATATTGAGTACCTCTTTTTGGCCTCATCTCTTTCATCTTTGAGTTTCATGGTTTCTTCTGACACCCAGCTTGGCATTTCACATGGTCTGCGTTCCCCGATCACATTTTCAACCACTTCCTTTACAGCGGTTTCAAAGCTGTCATACCATTCAGAAATTGTTGAAGTGATGTCATTCTGGAGTGCTTCAAATCTGTTGGATAGCTCGAGTTGAAACTTCTCCTTAATGGCAGGGTCTTGCAGTCTCTTCCAGTTGTTTGTTCGTCGAGATGGCCTACCCTTGCTAGTTCTAAGACTGGTGACTAGGGTAATGCTGACAATGCGATGGTCAGAATCCAGTTCAACTGTGCTGTAAGCACGGCAATTCCGTAGAGAGTTAACCCACTTGTTGTTTATCAAGATGTGATCCAGCTGGTGCACAGAGCCTGAGGGGTGACGCCATGACCAGAGTCGTGATCTAGGCTGGGGGAATCTCATTTGTGCTGGACGCAAGTTGTTTTCTTCACACATGGTGACTAGCCGCTCACCATTGTCATTTGTGGTCTCATAAAAGCAGTGTCGTCCTACAACTGTCGGGTGATGGGAATGGCTGTCTAGTCCAACTCTAGCGTTGAAATCACCTAGGACTAAGTGGATGTTGTGCCTCTTGACTTGGTCCAAGTGGTCATTCAGTGAAGTGTAGAATGCATCCTTGTCAGAAACGGCGGAGCACTCCGTTGGAGCATACACAATGGTGATGGTTAACTGGGGATTTCCAGACGACGCTTATCAGGACCAACGGTCCGTGATGACTTTCCGGTTTCCCGCTGGCCCGTCATGGAGTCATTAGTAGACGGACGCCCAGCTGCCTTCATTGTAGTATTTAGATTCATTCTTGTAGTTTTCGTAATCGTTTCTTTGCCAGACAATATTTTAGTCCGGGTCTGGCAGAACTGAATGGGTGATTGGCCCTGAACAGCCTGTTTCCGGTGGCATACAGCGGCCGAGCTCTACTGGATATGATGTAGGTCGCCCCTGGCCAGGAACACGTTAGCCAGTAGTGGAAATGTGACTTGTAGTGACGTGTTCAGCACTTGGGTGGGCAACCAACCAAGGCTACGAGCCCCACCCGCCCGAGTTTAGAATCAGAGTATCACTCTCCTAGGTGAGCAGCCAACCAAGGCTGACGAGCCCCACCTACCCGGAGTGGTCTGGTTTTAAGGCGCCAGAGATCCGCCTGCACACCTCTGCCCTCAGTTGGAAACAGGGATCGGCACGAGAAGCCGGGCAGTAGGAGTTTGAATAGGAGAGGCTATTGGAGACGCAGACCAAATGGGACATTTCATGGATATGGGGAGGCTCAAAACCCCATACCGCCCCCGTCATTCCTAAACCTTTGCTGTGTGTACAAGCTGCAATTTTCATCATGCTCTGACAGTTCATTTCATGAGGAGTTTGGCAGTGATCATGAGCTCAATTCTACAGTGGAACCTGATAATAATTGGAACAACTATCCTATGGACTTCCCTGCATCTTCAAAGACTTACAGGAATTCCATCTCCGGTCTACTTCTCAACGCTGGTAGTATCTGTAGTAAGCAACAGGACATGCAGTCATTTCTGGAGCTTCATCCTGTGGACATTGTCTGCATCACAGAGACATGGCTGTCAGCAAATAATTTCCTAAGCATACCTGGATATTCCACTATCCGACGTGACCGGAATAACCGAGGTGGTGGCATCATGGCAATAGTGAAGGATCCGTTGCTTCTGGCTATCTCGACCACCTTAACCCCACTGACACGGAGGTAACTTTCTTATCACTGACCCTAAGACACTCAAAATGGCTTGTTGGAATTGTGTACCGCCCCCCCCCCCAACGCAGATGTAACATTTTTTGATAAACTTCAAGATGTCTGTGACAACCTCCAATCAGATCTTCATAACTTTGAAGGAATGATACTGCTAGGTGACTTCAATATAAACTGGTGTACAGAATCTTCCTCACTGACGAATTTGCAAGGAGAAATCAACTCAATAGGCCTCATTCAACTGGTTGATGAAGTGACCCGGCCATCAAATAATTCTTCGTCGTCTGGGACTATCATCGATCTTATTCTCACAAACCGGCAGGAGAAATTCCGTTCAGTAGAAACAGTAGCAAATCCAGTCAGCAGTGATCACCATGCAGTGTTTTTCTCATTTGTTGCAAATAGAACTCCCCCTGAACCCAAAATCCTCCGCTCATTTATGCAATACAAAAAAGCTGACTTCTCACATTTAGAGACAGTTATACATCTTGCGCCAGGGACTGCATTCATGAACCACAGTGATCCCATGGAATCATGGGAGGGGTTCATGGACATATTGGATGCAGCGATTCGAGACAGCGTTCCCAGGAAGACATGCAATCGTCGCATGTCCCCATGGATAACACCTGCACTGAAACACCTCATCAAACAGAAACAAAAACTTTTTGTCAAGGCCAAATCAAGTGGTGACAGCAGTGACTGGAGCAGTTATAAACTTATCCGTAATGAGGTGAAAAACAAAACTAAGAAGGAGTACTGGAAATACATCAATGACTTGTTTGCTCTACCGGAAAACAAACGTAGCTTTTGGAGCTTTGTTAAGGACCTTAGAAAATCCAAATGTCCACCTGCGTTCAGGACAGCCAAGACACAGCTCTACAAGCCTGCCGATATTTGTCATACATTCAACAAGTTCTTCACCTCTGTCCATACTCCAACGGAGGCTCCTGCAGAGACCCCATCATCTTGTGACTTCCCAATTCCAGAGATTCACCCCACAACAGTGAACCTTGGCTGGCTTGTTAACTTGCTGTCCAACTTAAATCCTCATAAAGCAACAGGTCACGACGCTATACCACCAAGAATTTTAAAAGCAAATGCATCATCAATTGCTCTGCCTCTGATGCAGAGAGGGGCGTTGTCCCAGCAGATTGGAAACTCTCACAAATATCTCCGGTCTTCAAGTCTGGCAGTCGTACCGATATCAAGAATTACCGTCCAGTAGTGTTGACATCAATCATCTGCAAGTTGTTGGAGAGGGCTGTTGCTGACAACATCCACAACCATGTATCATCACTCTGCCTCGGCAACCCCCAGCAACATGGTTTCACTGCCTCCAAATCATGTGTCACCCAGCTTGCAAACACAATCCATGATTGGGTAACTATCTTGGATAAACCGCACCCTCCTCGACTCGATGTAATTTTCCTCGATTTTAGTGAGGCTTTTGATGTTATGCCTCACCATATGTTACTTATTTTACAGTCTCCTGACGATGACTACAGCAGGCTAGTCGAAACGTTGAGACCAAAGACAAGTTCATTTAGAACTTACAGCAGGACTGTTCTTAACAGAACAAAAACTACTTAGCAAAGTTGATAATAAGCAGGACAAGTTCTTCTCAGAACTAATATCTTCTAAGCAGTAGTTATTACCACATGGTGTTACCGCAAACCAAAACGATACATATGTTACATAGCAAACCTGCCAGCAACTTCAATATTCGTGGATTGACATGGACCTGGATAAAGTCCTTTCTAATAGGTCGTCAACAACGTGTCGCGTATTGGAGATGCTTCTCTGAGTGGGCACTGGTCAGTTACTTCAGGTGTCCCCCAGGGCAGTGTCCTTGGGCCCCCTCCTGTTTAATCTGTTTATTAATGACATTTCTCATAACTTATCCACAAACTGTGCACTCTTTACGGATGATACACTCCTCTATCAGCCAATCAACTCACCCCAAGATGAACTCTCCCTCCAGTCGGACCTAACTGCACTTGAACAATGGAGCAATCTCAATGGTATGCAGCTGAATACAAAGAAAACCAAGGTCATGCACATATCCAGATCCCGGAAACCAGCAGTTCTTCCAAGTTACATTCTTCATGGTTAATCGCTCAATGTAACACCTACATTCAAATATCTTGGGATTATCATCAACGACTCACTGAACTGGAACGATCACGTCGATGCCACTGTCTCAAAGGCCAATAAGACATTAGGCTTTATCTGGCATATTGCAGGTGGTGCTTCAACCAAGGCCTTGACATCCCTCTATCGTTCACTTGTCTTGCCCGTACCAGAATATGGGTTGCCAGCTTGGTCCCCATACACAGCATCCAATGCAGCCAAACTTGAGAGAGTGCAGAAAAGGGCAAGTAGAATGTGTCTCAAACAGCCCAAAGGTGCAATGTCATATGAAGACAGATTATGTGCTTTGAATTGGATGACTTTAGATGCTCGTAGACAGAAGCACATAGTTTATAAGATTTGAGGCTTTGCATGGTGGAGTATCAGTATCGTTTCAGTTTGCGGTAACACCATGTGGTAATAACTAATAAAGACAAGTTCTTTTAGAACTTTAAGCAGGAAAGTTCTTATCAGCACATAGTTTCCTTCACAGTTAAAGTCCTATTTAACTTAGTTGACTGCCAATCACTGAAGGCCAACACAGTAGTGAACACTCGTCACCAGGATTGTCTCACATTTAATCACCACTATAGTAGAACTCAAACCCTCAAAAACACACCTAGTCATGTCTTCCCCCGAATCTGGAGTAGTTTACCATCGCACGTAAGGGACTCTCTATTAATTGAATCATTTACACTGTTTAACACCAGATTATCTGCTCATTGTTATGAGTGTTAAAACCTTGAGCTGGAAATAGCCCCCCCGCCCTCAAAGTGTTAACTTTTTTGATCTCCTTTAATCTTTTTAAAGTAATTTCATGTGTATATTTTTTCAACTGCAAACTGCCATCATTGAGTGGTAGGGCACAACCCGACCACTCTTTGGATTTGTTGCGATTAATCTTTCTTTCTTTCTTTTTTTTTTTTTTTCTTCTGCATAGCACGTTTCCGCGGGTTTTCTCCTAAACGGTATATGATATGAACTTGTAACTTTTAACATAATATTGACCCTCATTCCGAGTGGTGCATATTACACTGACGTCATTATGACGTCATCGGGTGTCAAATTACAAGCGATTTTCGTTGAAAAAATGACGATCTTCTTTCATCTATAACTCTTCAACAAAATGATCTTTCAATTACAGAAAATACCTCACCTCTGTTTACCTACATTTGCATATCACCGCGCATGCGCACAAACGTTCGCTGAAAAGAATAGCGCCCAAGCCACACCCTCATTGTCCACTGCATGCCCCACGCCCACAAAGGACCCTGTAACGTAATAGCTCGTCCTAGTTTTTTCAGCAACGCGTAGTGTAAAGACGTACAATTTTTAGCTGTTCTCGCTGTGATTACAAAATGGCAGACTCCGCCAAAACCAAAAAGAAAACTGTCTCAAGCCGTTCTACCGGAAAGTCACCCTCTACTCAATCCAAGCGTGATAATTCCTCCAATGAGAATTACGGCCACTCCCCGACAAATCCGCATTCTTACGGCAGTCTGCAGGAGCACATGCACGCTCTCGGAACAACAGGTCGACTCGCATGTGCAGGCGGGACGGCAGGGCTTGGCGTTCGAAACCCAAAGGTCCCTCAGTAATCTGACCAGCCCCGCTGGGTCACAGAGGCTTGGGGCACCACCACCACCATCATCTTCAGTCAGCCATACTACGGGTTCGTATTCTCAACCTAGTTTTACATTTTTTGGATGATTGTCTGAGTTTTTGCCTCAAGGAATTTAGTTTGGGTTTTGCTTCAACTTCGTTGCTGCGACGCTCCCTTGTTTAGACAAGTTGTTTCTCCCTTCACTTGGGGTGAAGGATCGCATGCTAGACCTTCCCCTGGTTGGGCGTGATCTCTTTGACAACAGGTTCGACGAGACTATGTTACATGAAGCCAAACGCCTCATAGCTGAAGACAAGTTCGATCTTCGTCGGCGTTCAGCCAAACGCCCCTCTACATTTGTCCCCAGTCAGCCCAGCAAGAAGAATCAACGCCCGTTTTCTACCGACAAGGGCTCCCACCAGTCTAAGTTTCAGGGGCATCAGGCTTCTTCGTCTTCCTCCCGCTACACCAGGAGACAGCCCCCCAGATATTCGCGTCCTTTCAAGTCCCGGGGGTCGCGAGGTAACAAGGGCCTCTGACTACAACACAGTTTTCATACATCCAGCTTCGGGTCCAGTAGGTTGTCGTCTTGGGGAGTTCAGTCAGAGATGGTCTCACGTAACCTCGGACATTTGGGTTCTTTAAACGATCTCGACAGGGTACCGTCTGGAATTCACCAGCAACCCTCCTCTACAACCTCCAAGACAACCAACTCCTGTTCCCTCAGATCCTGCACGCCGGGCGGCGTTGGAGAAGGAAATCATCTCTCTGATAGACAAGAACGCCATCATTCTGCTTCCAACGGGGTCCACTCTTGGCGTCACTTCAACCTTTTTCCTTGCG